GTTTGACGCGCGAAGGCGTTGATAACAATTGAAGCTAGTGTTCCGCAGTGGTCTTGGGAGCCTTCAAATCAAACCGGCCAAAAGGACGCCAACCATTTTGGGGGGATCCATACATCGCTTGTCATTGCCAAGTTATTGTTTTGATTTCTTGCTTCTTCTTTTTTGTGTTTGGGGGGGGCCCGTCCATCTGGTCATGAGACAAAGTTGGTAACGTAGTGCCCAAGGTGAAAAGCCTGAAATTGCTTAAAGAGGTGAGGCAAACAGCCGAGAGCTGCTCAACATTCTCAGGCCTGGTACTCAAACTTGAAGACAGACCCCCTTGCATTGTAAAACCAATCAGTTTCGGGCTCGCTTTGGAGGCAACCCACTGGCAAGCCGGAGATCCATGGAACAGGGATCCTTACATTATACACCTGAACATTGCCTTGAAAATCGTGGTTTCCAACTTTACTTTTGGTGTTGAAAAAGGCAACATGTTTGAACTGGTTGCAAAATGGAGATCTTTTAAGGAGCCGCTGTGGAAGCAGGCCTCTTTCTGTGCGCTTCGCTCCTCGACTCTCCAAGTAGGCAGCAATCTGGGCGTCTTCTGCACCATCCAGCGCTGTACCCCATCCCTGCCAGAGACAGTGGGTGGAACATATGCCCATGGGTCCAAAACCCAAATCGTGTTTCCAGGGAACATCAACCAATCCAACCACTAAAATAGGTTCTAAAATGGGTGGTGAATTCACCTACCCCAAAATGGTACAATGGGGGTCAAAATTGAACCGCAAAAACCGCAGGTGTTGGTCCTCGGCTCTATTTACCAGGCTTCCATTTTGCTATCTTTTTTGACCCACAGCCATATGTTTGCCTTCCGGTCTTGCAGGACTCCAACCCACGGGGTGGAAGAACACCCCACAGAAGGCAACCCACCGGGTGTAGGTCCTAAAGAAATGGGGCCCCTGTCTGGGTCTCCCTGAGATCCTCAAAGGGATCAAGTTGTTGGGCTTGAAAAGCAAGCCACAGGACACAGGACGACATTCCCACTTTGACTTAAGGGGCCTCACCTCCATCTTCCTGCGATCTACGAGGGTGTTTCTCAACATTCGAGACCACTCCAGGCAGGTGTTGTCTGGTTGAAATCGATCCAATCAGAGGCTTCCCTCACAAAACTAAAAACCCTTTTGATATCCCTCAAAACCCATCACAAAAGTGGCGCCAAGCATGAGGCAGGGATCCAATCAGGCTTTTCCCTGAAGACGTTCCTTTACAGCCGTCCAAGGGGTTCCATCCGTTAGACCAAAGCCTCCGCTGTCAGGTTGATGTCTGCGCCGTTGTCGCAGAGCGCTTTCACGCAGGGGAGGAAGCCATAGTGCGCAGCCAGGATCAGCGGCACTACTCCATCTTCGTTGCCCTCGTTGGGATCCTAAGCATTTCATCAAAAACTGCTCCAGCCACACGACATCCCAAACACCCCGGTCCCAGTTTTGGGATCGAATTGCTTCCTGCTCAAGGGGGCGTTTTCGGGGCATGATGTGTGTGCCGTCATACCGGTGCTTCCAAAAGCAACCTGTCGCCGCATGAGCCGTGGCTGGGCGGACCATCAAGCCACACCCCGTTTCAGTATATAAGGCTGAATGCACATGCCCTGTGCGTAAACGACCCCAAAAGGCTTGCTGATGTGGCCATGGGTCAAAACCCAAATCGTCCCCCCAGTGAACATCCCAATCCCAACTAAAATAGACTAAAATCGGAGATGCACCTATCTCAAAATGGCACCATTGGTTTTTGAACCACGGCCATGTCCTCGATTGCCCGACAAAATGGTGGGAACCAGGGACACGACTGAGGTCTGGGCGAGGCCGGCCGCAACCAAGGCTGTGATGGCCTGCGGAAAAATATAAATAAATCGCGGGGGCGACGGCATGAAGCACTTCTTTGGGTTCCCCTCGTCTTCCGTCCTGCGGTATATGTCGACAAACCCCATATGTGACGCAGCCACTTACACAACTCACACATTTGACCATGATGAGGCACGCTGCGAAGCATGGATTCGAATCTTGCGAATCCAAGGGTTTCATGTAAAAGCGTCAAGAGGGATTCCCAATGGCTGTTATTGGCATGAAGACAAAGCGCCGTTTCTGCACACAGCAAGGTGGGCCGGAGCACTCGAATGGCCGTAGCACGAACCCGCCAAACCGAAAGGAAATGGGAGGGAATCCGAGAAACTCGCTGCAAAAGGCCGCTACAGGGCCCACTGGCCCACTGCATGCGGGAATGAGTCAACACCCCCAAAATGAGATGATCTTCCTTGTTTTCCCTTCCAAACCAACTTGCAAAGGGCCCCCTCCAACAAAAAAACCTAGCCGGCGAGGGGGCTTGCATCACATCCGCCAATCGAAAAACGTCGCCTCCGGGCAGTTTCCACTTGCTGCGTGGTGCAGCATGGTGGAGCCATCTTCCGTGCGCACCTGGCAGTTCTGAGGTCCCTTTCCATGGGATCTTCAGATGGGTTTCACGGGTAAATGGCATAAAACCAATCCAAAGCAGACCCATCTAGGTGTAGCTGATGTGTAACCAAACTAACCTAAGAAGGACTATGCTGATTGCCCTCGCTCCAATCATGGAAGTAAACAGCAAACTTTAGGTTGCCTTCCGAAACACTCCTGGCAACTTCCATGATTGCTGGAGGGAGGGTAACAACATCGGAGTCCGGATCAAATCCGACAAACCCACCCCAAACTGAGATCATTCCCCAGTAGGGGAACAACCCAGAATTCATCCCCCAACCCGCCCAAGTGAGCAACGGACAAAATAACTTGCTTTACGATAGATCATGAATCACATGGGCCCGGATCCCCCCGCTTGTGGGAAACTTGGCTGGCCCCCATTTCCGCCTACTGATAAGTCCGTCAGTTGCTCAAGTTATGAAGCCGCTTCATGGGCGAAAGAAAACACTGCACGGCCGTGCCTGGGCATCTGCACCGCGCGCAAGCAGCTCTTTCACGATGTGCGAATGGCCACTGCGTGCCTCAACCAAAAAGGCGGCGACAAGTAGAACGAGCAAGTTGACTTGAGTGTGCCTCTAAATGGGGAACCCTGAAATGAGTGGTTGTCCTTGGAGATACCCTCGAAAAATAGACACGCACACACTTGCACAGCATTGCCCATGCGCGCATACCTTGCCTTGTAAGAATAAGCTGCATGAATATCTTGCCCTTAAGTGTCGCACGGCCATGACCATGGCGGTGGAGCCGTCGTAGGCCATGTAATCATCTGGCTTCATGCCCTCGTCTAGAGCCTGCGAAGCATGGGCTCAGACACAATAGATCAAGTCCAAAGTGGCTCCGTGTGAATGCCTGACAAGGCTAACACTGGATTCATCCGGAGGATCCTACTAGTCAAAGGAACACCCAAAGTCCAATGTTTCCAATTGCAAAAGGAACCAACCCTGATTGAGTTTTAAGCCTCCACCCCTAATTCCAAGTCAACCAGAAACCAACGGGAGACTAACCGATACTTCAATGACCCACCCATCCGCAAACCTCCTGGAGTCTCCTTCTGACTCTTCAAAACTGGTTGGTCATTACCCAAAATCATGGTTGGTCATTGACCCATTTTTATTTCGGGTCAGAAGGAGACTCCAGGCTGATCCCAACGAAACTGTTGGGAATCGCCTCGCGGAGGCTGGCGAGGTCGCCTCTGCGGCTGTACTCGTAGACTTCATAACCTCCCAAGGTCTCAAGGCCTAGCGACCCACTTGGATGTTCGGCCAAGTGCCACCTACTTGGATGTTCGGCCAGGGGTAAGCCAAGCTAGGAGGTGGTAAGCTAGGAGGTGGATGTCCTCAAGGCCAAGCTAGGAGGTGGTAAGCCACCTGGCTGTGGGTCAAACCCAATGGCTCCATTTTGGGGTGGATGAACATCCATTTGCCACCTACTTTGATGTTCACCGGGGGTATATACAGGGTTTTGCCACCTGGGTTATGATCCACCAATGACAGGCTTAGCTGCACTTAGGGGAAAACTATAAGTGGGTTGTAACCCAGGTTACCAACAACTTACTAAGTTAGCCGAACACCCAAGTAGCCACCCAGCCACAAGCGCGACCCGCCTTTCTCCATTGCTGGCTGTGGTTGAAGCACTCTTGAATCCGGAAAGCTGCGAAATGATTTAGCAAGTTGGCCACACAAGCTAAACGGATCGAGTAATTATGTGGCCCATCAACATGCCCACTCGACTGGTGCAATGCTCAATCCATTTCATGACTTCGTTCTTGAGATGGAACCGGGTGTGGCACGCACAGAGAGGGTAACAAATCCTCTAACGTGGGTCATGGTCACGGTTCTCTTACAAGGAAACTTTACAATAACGATGTGAACCCGACTGAAGGGTCCTTGAGCATCCCTACTGTGGATGCACCGAATCCTGCAACAGTTGATAGGCGGTTTATCCAAGTAGTCATGGGGTTTCCTGTTGGCGTCCCTTACCAAGGTAAGCCGGGTACCCTGAAGGGACGTTTAGACCTGGCACATATCGAGGTATGTGTTGAAGCAAGGGCACCCCCAAAGCTGGGTGGTTTTCTGCTGCTCCTCTCTCAACCACCCTGAAAAGGGTATCCTCAGAAAAGACACATCCATGCCATGGGGTAAGGTCCCACCCAGGCTTCTTTGGACGTGGTTAAAGGGACGCCAAAAGGAAACCGCCCATTTTGCGGGACCCCTAATTTGACACGCATACTCAGATGCCCAGTGGCCATGGAACAAAAAAGGGGCATCCTTTTTGGCTGGTTGACTTTAAAGGAATCGGAACCCTCCCCCGAAAAAAAAGTTGAAAAAAGCTTTGGCACCACTGAGCAACTGGGTAAGCACACACACACACACATGGCTGTGGCTCAAACATATATGTACCAAAACGGCACCTTGGAAAATGGAAGCTTCAACGACTAAGACCCGCGTTTTGGCCCGAGCTGTTGAACTTTGAGCCGCCACGTTGGGTTGCCCATCTGCTTGCTTGCGCCTCCTTTCGCCGCGGGGAGGCTCCGGGAGCAGGAGCCCGGCGCGGGGACTGAGAAGGCCTCGCCGAAGATCGGGCTGGGGCGAGTTCGGAGTCTCGGGTTCCTGGAGTCTCCAGGAGTTGTCCTTCCGGAAATTCGGCAAGCACCCATCAGAAACCAGGATTTCTTGTAGAACCTGTGGGTTTTATACCTGGAGTCTCCTCCTGACACTTCATGTTGGACCTGCTTTCATGTGACCCCCCCCCTCCTGAACAGTGGAACCAGTCTTCTGGACCCTCTTTAGGGAAGATTGTGGAGGTCCAACATTAAAACATGGTTGGTCAGAACCCAAAATCATGGGGTCCTTGACCCATTGTTGAAGGGTCATGGAGACTCCGGGTAGGCTCAAACCCAGAGATTGGTTACCCAAAGGGGAAATTAGACACTGGGTTCAAGTCTACCTTGGGGGGTAAGTCTACAAATGGGGGGGGTTCTCAAAAAAGGAATCGGTGCATTGCTTAAAATGGCAATGGCTTCCTTTTGGTTTCCCTTGAAATACCAGTCCCAAGCCCATGCTTTGCTTGGATGGTGCTTCGTCTGAGTGGGGTCCAAAACCAACAAATTGCCCAACAGAAACAACGACAAGTCTAAAGGGATACCGTGTTCTTGGAAAACCCGGCTCAGACTTGACCCCCATCTTCCAGAAGCTCTACCAAACAGTTGTTCATGCTGCATTGCTGTGGCAGGGCGGCAAATGACAATTCCCTGGAGTGCGGCAAACGCATGACGTTTTGTTTGTTTTGTCGGGATGGCGGACAGGTCAAAATATGTTCCCATTGACATGGGCCAACTAGAAAGTTCCTCCGTTGCCAAACTGAATATTCTCAGTATATACTCCAGTTCCCTGCGATTTTATTTTGGCTTTGCATGTTGACAGCTACCGTAGATAGGAGTGTCTGAGAATGTCCCCCAAAACAGGTGAGATCAGGTGAGACTCCTCCTGGTTTCCAAAAACAACACATCCTCTTGTTTCCAGGCACTTCCTCTTAGTTTCCAACATCCTTCAGCTTCCCGTTATGTGGTAGTTTAAGGTCAAATCCCCAAACCACCAATCCAAACCACCAACTAGGGTTATCTGAATCCTGGGTTTCCAAGCCCCAAAAGCACCAACTCCCAGACTTTCCACGCACCTTCCCGCCCGTTTTCCCGCCTCTCCCGCGGCGAAGTCACCGGCGAGGCGCGGGGGCGCTGCCCCCTACGCCGAGAATGCGCTGGGAACAACTGACAAAAAACACATGAATAGAAATAGAACAAATAATAAACACAAACAACAAAAACAAACAAACAAACAAAAAGGAAAGAAAGAAAGAAAGAAAGAACGAAAGAAAGAAAGAAAGAAAGAACGAAATCAAACCGTGTCGCTAAAATAACAACACACTGTCAAATGTAAGCCATATGAATGCGGATAAGAATCACTGTTGCTTGGCGTTTCATATGAACAATTGGATCCTCCTGGCGTTCCTATTGAAAGAACAACTTAAAGCCAATGTTGGGACTGAAATCTGGGCACCTCCCCCGCAGAAATCGCTTGGCTTGCTTGAGGTTGCGGCCCTCGCTCTTCGGCGCGCTCGCGCAAGAGCTGCTCACAGACCTGAGGCGCCCGGCCAGGCGAACTTTCCAACGGGCGGATGGTGTTGGCAATGGAAGACATGTCCAAACGCAGGCACCAAACCGGGGAGAATGATACTATTTGATTTCCAGAAAAGAAAAAAAAACGGGACGGTGTTGTGTTCTTCCAGTATCCGGGAGGGCCAGGGCGATTCTGTTGAGTCAATCAAACCCTGGGATGGATAAGTTTGCTTTAACCTGCCATTTTTGCAAGGGGGTGACTTTGATGGTCAAAGAAGGAAGCCAGGGGTGTCTTTAACATGAGGGTCAAACGGGTGGCCCAAAAGGGTACCGTCAACAAAAAGGCACCGTGTTTTTCCCCAAAAAAGCACAGTGATTTTGGTTCGACTGAAACGCAGGGAAGATGCTTGAATTCCGATGTGGGTTGAAGTCCTTCATACCTGTCGACTGCAGCCATGTTCTCCGCTCTGTCTATGGTACATACATACCCCAAATGTTTCTGGAAATGCGGGACCCTGTTGGTTGGAAAACGTGGGCCATTTAGGGGTCCACGATTCCAGGGATCGTCGTACAGGAGCCATCCTGATTTCCTCAACAAATATTAGAAGCGCGAGTGGATCCTCTGCGCAGTCCCAGCCAAATCACTAGCAGTCAAACAGCGGGGTATCACCAACGCAGAGTCACATGGGCATGTATCACAATGGTCCCCCAAAGTTTGCCTTTGGATTTCTTTTAAACCAACCCCCTAGAAAGGGTAACTCACCTGCCCACAGGCAAACATACTTTTGCGGTGGCCAAAGGGTAGAGGCTTCACAGAATAGGCCGAGTTGCAGGACAATCGCAGATGTTGTGCGAGCCCCAAACTAAGTGCAACGAAGGGTGTGACTTGTTGGGGGTGCCCTAAGACACCGTTGAGATGGCACGCCGATCAGCCAGGCTCATTGTTTCTGGGCACAAATGATAATTCACAAGTCGGAAATAATAAAAAATCCAAGACAAAGACCCTCGTCTCAACTAGACTTTGATTCCTATTTAACACTTGGCCGGCCCAGCTCTTGTCTCCTCTGGGCCCTCCTGCTCTCACCAAGGACCCGATCTGCTCTCGGAGGTCTGCGTCCCTGAGCCATGGAACGTGTTTTGGTTTTCTTCAGTTCATAGGCTGGTTCCCGGCTCAGTGGAAGCGGAAACATCGGGCAACTAAGTTCATGAAAGCGGTATTCTGAAACTGACCCTCTCAATGATGGTTTAGGGAAAGCACTGCTCACTTCCTGAGTGCCTTGGCCTTCAAAACGTACCCAAGCTGCTTATTTACCAGTACTAGGTATTCCAGTAGAGAGGTTAGAATAAGGGTGCCCTTTTTTCTGTAGTCTTTTTTAGTAGGGGAACCCTCCCCCAGAAACGGGGTCAAAAAGGGCACCTAGCTGGGGGACCTAGAGTAACACAGTCCCAAAAGCGACGTTTCGGTCCGCGTTTTGGGCCTCAGGGAGTGGGACGGCCGAAAGTGCTTGTTTGAGAACCCCTGTATGCTTGTTTGGCGGTGGCTCAAAATTCAAGAGCTAGGGCAAAACGCAGGTCTTAGTCGTTGGGTCCATCTAACAAGGTTCCATTTTGGTACATTTATTTGAGCCACAGCCACATGTTCTATCTTGAAATGGCTCCTCTTGCAAGTGGCAAGAGAAAGCATTGGATGCTGTATCTCTGGGGGCCCAGGGGTGGCGGTCAAAGCGGTGGCTCAAAAGTGTTGGTTTTCCTTTGTTCCACTTTAAAACCATCCCGAAACGGGTACCCTCCAAAAAACACAGACCCATAGATCTACCAAGGGGTCTCTGCAAGTGCCTCAAACAAATCAAGGGCGGATATCTGTACCTATGGCAAAGGGACTGTCCCTTAGCCTTCCAACGCCCGGGTTTCACCGCCAACGCTAAGTCTGTCAGCAATTTCCGACGCCGAAAGGAAACCACCCTTTGGGGGATCCCAGGCTGACCGAAGCTGTACGCATTTTGGGACCTCAAGGCCCTTTTTGTGGTCAACCTGCAATGCAATTTCCATTTCACCTTCAATGACTAGTTTAAAGCCCACTGGATCCTCTTCATAGTCTATCCGAGTGCCAGGCTCCTCCCCCATTCTCCGGCTTCTTCAAACATGTGAACAGGGTACCAATCTGCCAAACTTCTGTTGCTCCGGTTTCTCTGGGAAGAGGCCTTCCTACGATGTCGCCACAGGCTCCTTTTGATTTCCTTGCTGCGGGAATGAGAACTGGAATGACCACCAAGAAAACTGGTGGTTTCCTTTCGGGACTCCCCGAAACCGGTTCATTCCATTTCTCATTCAGTACACCCCAAAATGGTTCCAACGACCCCCCAGAAAACCATCCATCCGATTGGTTTTCTTTAAGGACCAAAGGGGTTCCTTCCCTCAGTCCCTCGCATGCATCCTGATGGACAAGATCCGAGACCGCACCACTTTAAAACCAGGGTTGAAACCATGGTTTGTTGGTATTTGCAAGGAAATCATGTAAACAAAAACCAGGTTTCTGAACGGTGCGATCTTAGGATTTCGTCCATCCACGGTATGGTTTCCTTTAGTTGGACTCCCGAAAACGCGTCATCCAGCAAGTCCAAGAAAACCATCCAAATGCTGGTCCCCTATAAGTTGGAATCCCCTACGGTTTGCGAAGCTGTAAGCATTGTGGGCCCTTCAGGGATCCTTACATTATACACCTGAACATTGCCTTGTAAATGGCGGTTTCCCTTTATTTTGGTGTTGAAAAAGCAGCATGTTTCAAATGGTTGCAAGATGGAGATCTTTTATTTCAAAACCATGTCCAAAAGCCATGTTTCCCCTGATTTTCATCACAAAATGGAGATCTTTTCAGGAGCCCTGCCCAGTTTTCAGTGGGAACCCCCAAAACGCTTCATCCAGGTGCGACCATGAGGCGCCGGCATCACCGCCTGCGGGCTCAAGTTTCTTGGGCTGCGGGAGCCCTGCCTCAGAGGCAGAAGTCTGGTCTGAGTGACACACAAATGCATATGTATATACATGTATGTATATATACCTGGAAACTCCTTTCGGCAAAAGTTTCTGCCGAATTGGGGAATAGTTGCCTATTTACAATCCTCAGCGTAAATTCCCAAACTAGGCGGAATTCACTGACTCTTGGCGTTTTTACTTTGACACCCACCTCTGCCATCCACAGCGATTTTGTGGGGGCTCAAACGGCCTCATGTGATCGTGGCGGCGCCTGACCACTTCATGGTGCGCCCAATCCCACCGCCCTTGCTCGAGATGCTTGGGGTCAAGCATGGGGGGTGTTTTTCGGCCTGCTCCTGCAACTTTGGATCAGATTGATTGCTGGCCAAAGCTCAGCTGCAGCCATGGCATACGATCAAGAGATCCAGTCACTGCTTCAGGAAGCAGGCCAGACCACCAAACATCTTAATGGTTACTGTAAGAGTTTTCCAAAACATTTCAACGCCATTTTCACGGATGGGTTTTGGAGGGACGGAGGTTGTATACCACTTGAAAATGGGGTATGATATAGTAAGCCTTACAAGAGTATAGGTATGTAAGCCTCCATCCACTGAAAACCCATCATTGAAAATGGTGTTGAACATTGCCAGCCAGGTTTGCATGAGATGCCGGCTGATTGGTACAAGGAAGCGAAATCGGTGCTTTGGCCCGCTGCAACCACAGCCGCCGGGGCTGCACTCGTTGAGTTTGATACACAGGAACTTATGGGTGCGGAACGTTGCTTTTCTCTAAGGATGGCTTGTCCCTGGCAGAGGCAAAGGCCTTGGTGGAAAATTTCAAGCAAAAGGGATCGGTGTACGAGCTGGCCTCTTTTTTGTGGGATTACAAGGCTGCCTGTTACCCGGCCGCATTCTTTTGCTCGCTTGAGCTCGCTTCACGCGCGCATCCATTCGCCCAGAAAGCTTGCCTCCTGTGAGGCAAGCATGAGATGAGCACTCGCGCAGCTGCGCGCACTGAGCGTGAAACGGCGGTAGCTCAGGAACCTGATGGGCGCCGAGCGGAGAGCAAAGTTGATTGACTAATTGACCAAGCAATCACGGCTTGCGCTGATGGACATTGAAAAAGGTTTTCAGTGCACACATACTTTCCTCAACTGCTTTGAGTGGTTGCTCCAAAGAAGCATAGGGTTCTTTCAGCTTCCTCCCGATTGGTGGTCTGGTGTCATCAACATCCAAGGGTTAAAGCCCCCAAACCACCAATCCAAACCACCAATTAAGGGAAACCTCTTGGCTTTTTTGGGAGTCACCTAGCTACGGGGTCAGTGAGGAAAAATGAAGCATACGGTAGCCCCGCGGTAACCCTTTGAACGGACTAATGACCCTGGTGATCAACAATGTAGCCAGCTCCCAGACCATCCCAATGAACCTTGGAGCGTGCTCGCCCGCACGCAGGTGCTATTTGGAAAGCGGGGGCGCTCTTCATTTGGATGGAGGCGGGTCACCCGTGGTCAGTTCCACTTGCCAACGTTTACGACATAAATAGATACGTTTGGCAGGTGATGGCCCATCAACGTGATCTAAAGCTTCGCCTTTCTTGGCCAGGGCCTTTGCTTCTGGCAAGCCTCAATCGTCCCAGTGATGTTCCTCTTTGGCACGGGGCATAAATCGAGGTAGTCTTGGATTTTTTGCTTTGATGGTCAAGTGTGTTGCACGCCTTATAGCTCAAATATATACAGCTCATCTCAGGTAAGCAAGCAAGACTGAGTCGTTAATCTCAAAGTTTGCCGGCTAGTCTCAACCCCCGGCCCAGGCTGAAGCCTGCCTTGGCATCCACGACGGCCCGCCCGTTGCCCAACGCACTTGAGCAGTGGCCTGCAGAAGGGCCGGGTAGCTGGCAATGCCCTATCAAACCCTTCACAAAGGGGGTGCGCCCCCAAAAAGAACCTTTGTTTACACATTGCCTTGGTGGATCAAAAGTCCAAATCGATGCGTGCACCAGTTGTTGCTTGGTCAAGTTTTGCTGTTTAGCCATTTGGCTCTTGATTTTACCAAGAACTCTGACGCCAGCCATGACTAAGAAGAAACCCCAGGGCCACCTTGACGGTTTTGGGAAAGGGTTGGAGGGCCTTGCTGATGTGCGGAGGCATGCCCTGGCCAGCGGAACATTCATGACATGGCCAAACGCTGAAGCAACGGGGCTGATGAACATGACAAACCTGGCATTGAACGCGGAGGTGATTGGCCTGCTGGTAGACCTATGGGCCCCCCAGTTTGGGCAAGCCAAAACAGTCCATGTGGACTTGATCAAGGAACAGGCCTACGATGGGTTGCTGGCGGCTAGTTGCGTCTCGCTCTTTACCATTGAATTGCTACGTTCACACCCTTTTCTTCCCTGCCAGGTGAAGCTCGCCCGGGAAAAGCTCAACATGCCGACATCAGTCAGTGTCGTGCACTGCGAAGCTCACGCCCTGAAAGGCCTCTTTTCGTTGCTCATAAGACGCCACGACGGCTACTCGAAGAAGGTGCCCCGACAAACATTGCCGACGTTGAAAACATACGCGTCGGCCTTGGTTTTCTGTGTTCCCTTTCTATATTACAAAATAACGCCCCACATCCGTTTGCTGCAGGACAAGAAGACGCAAGCTCTATTCGACAAGCTCTCCGAGTTCTGGGACCCGAAGCGACCCCCTTCAAAAGTAGATTTGGTGGAAACACAGGAAGGCGAGGAAGAGAAGGAGGTGGAGGAAGATGAGGAACAGTCAGAAGAGGCGTGTGAAGTAGAAGAGGCAGGAGAGGCTTATGGGGAGACAGAGGAAGAAGCCGCAACTCACGATAAGCCCATGCTCTACGACAGCCCACTCCCGATGACCCCCATGACTGAAACGCTTGTTCGCACGCCAAAGTCTAAGACCGGGGTGAAAGATGATGATGTGGAAAAAATGGACTTGATGCTTGCGTGGACTCTTGGTGGTGAACTCTTGCCAACCTTGACCCCGGAGCCGTTTGATGGTGTTCCCAAGACCAAGATCTCTGACAAGAAGGAAACGCCTAACCTGCCGGACGCATCGGCCATGAGTGAGGACGAGGTTTTGGAACAGTTGAAGACTCTTGAGCACCTTGAAGGAAACAGTGTCTGACCGAAAAATCTGAAAGTCTCTTGCTCCCCTTCCGCCTTAGTTCCCTTTCGGGGTTTTGCTAGCTGTCCTCTCGAGCTAAGGCACCAAATGCAGGAGCGCAAGCTAGTCCTCTTGGGCATGCGGGCAGCTGCAAGCTGGGATGGCCATGCCCTCAAACCACACTTGTACTGTACCAGACATGTTTAGCTTCCGACAGCAACATCTGTTGAGCCAGGCTCGACTTGCGCCGACAACCTTGAGACCCTGCCCTTCGACCCCGCCCAGGCTGAAGCCTTGCAGCTTGGTCTGGAGCGGGCGGCGATCACGACGCCGTCTCCTCAGGGCAAGCAACAGTTGTTTGACCAACAGTCTGCTGACAAGACGGTACCCATGGAATCTTCATCCGTGAGCCCCTCATCCCTGGAGTCATCCCAGCACGCTGTCATTTTGGCGGCGAAGACTCTCAAGCTTGGGGAGGACGACGCAGTCAACACCAATCACGTTGAAAGTTCGGAGGAAAATGCTGGGCAGCCTTGCGTCTCAAACACACCCAAGAGTGTTCCAACCCAGGAGGTGCACATGGAAACTCTGGCCTTCACTCAACCTACGGCTCAGGAAATAGACCAAGAGGCTAAGGTGCAACCTGTGGCTGCCAGCCCCACCACCTTGGACGTCTTGCGCTTTGAGGAGACCATTCCTGGGTTGTTTTGAACCCAGCAGCCATTCCAGTGCTTCAACCCAACAAGGTTTCTCAACATTGTTCTTGCTTTGAGACTCTGCCAGCTTCCCTTCTCAGCGTTGACAATTTCATCTAAGAGCCGGCCGCCCGGGGTTAAGACATGTTCAGAACTATTCACGCTTCTTGGTTGGAAGGCTCAATATTGCGGCTTATCATAGACCGTACCCAATGAGTGGTTTCCCTTTACAAACCCAAGGGGGAATAATTGGAAAACAGCAAGCAGTAGTGGTGGTCCCCCTTTACAAACGCAAGGGGACAAACATGGACAAAACAAAATTATCTTTGTGCTGGTTTTCCTTTACAAACCTAAGGGGGAATAATTGAAAACAGCAAGCAGTAGTTGTGGTTTCCCTTTACAAACGCAGGGGGGAAACATGGACAATACAAATAATCTGTGGTGTTGGTTTACCTTTACAAACCCAAGCTGGAATTTTTGGAAAACAACAAGCAGCAGCGGCGGTCTCCCTGTACAAACGCAAGGGGAAACCATGGACAAATCAAAATTCTGTGGTGCTGGTTTCCCTTTACAAACCCAAGGGGGAATAATTGGAAAACAGCAAGCAGTAGTGGTGGTCCCCCTTTACAAACGCAAGGGGACAAACATGGACAAAACAAAATTATCTTTGTGCTGGTTTTCCTTTACAAACCTAAGGGGGAATAATTGAAAAACAGCAAGCAGTAGTGGTGGTTTCCCTTTACAAACGCAGGGGGGAAACATGGACAATACAAATAATCTGTGGTGTTGGTTTACCTTTACAAACCCAAGCTGGAATTTTTGGAAAACAACAAGCAGCAGCGGCGGTTTCCCTGTACAAACGCAAGGGGAAACAAATCAAAATTCTGTGGTGCTGGTTTCCCTTTACAAACCCAAGGGGGAATACTTGGAAACAGCGCTCTAGCTCCCAGCCCCTCGGTTTTGGCATTTGACCAGGAGACCACGGACCGGACGCAGCAGGCCGCCCTGAAACAGGCCCTCAAGGAGAAACCCAGAGGTTCTTGTGAAGAGGGGGCCAAAGCGAAGGCAAAAGCAAAGGCTAAGCAAAAGGCAAAGGCAAAGGCGCAGGGCGACGCAGCACCATCTTTAAAGAATGAACCAAATGGGGAGTCAGGGGGGCGCCCGAAAGCAAAGGCTAAGGCAGCCGCCAAGGTGGCCGCCAAGTCAGC